TTACGAAACTTGACAGGCCTACAAATCACCTGGGAACTCTATTAGAAGCAGAGATTTCTGGCTTCACCCCGCCCAAGGACTCTGACTCAGCAGAGATGCAGGTTTGGAGTAAGGCTAAGACAGGTTAGTAAGCATTCAGGTGACTCTGACAGAGGACTTGGGAAACCTTACCTAGAGAGACACTGTGTTCAAGGGTAACGGGGCACATCTTGGTTCTTCTGAAGAGCAGGAAATAAACGCACCTCATCCCTCTCAGCAGCACAGGGGCTGGGGCTGGGGGCTTGCAGACTCAGGCCCTGCTACTTAAATAAGACTATCTCCTCTCGGCATTGCCTTTTAGGATGGGGTCAACCATCTGTGCAGAAAGGTATATCCCCTGCCCCGCTAGGTGTGTAATCGGGCAGGACCGAAGGGACAGAACAGTGAGGGAAAGGAGCCCCATCCCTCCAGGGCTTCTGTGGAGAAGAGTGTGGCCGGTGGGCAGCAGGACCAAACAGCCAGGGGTGCTTCTCCATGGACACCCCAAGAGACCCAGCAAGACTGAAGCTCCTCTGGGGGCACCTGGGTGGCTCAGTCGGTGAAGCGTCCGACTCTTGGTGTCTGCTCAGATCTTGATCTCAGGGTTGGGAATTCAAGCTCCACATTGGGCTCCACACTGAGTGTGGCGTCTACTTAAAACGAAGAAGACTGAAGCTCCCCTGACCCCTGCCTGATAGAGTTTCACTTTTTTTTTTTTAAAGGTTTTATTTATTTGAGAGAGAGACAGACAGACCGACAGAAAGAGATGGTGACAGAGAGCATGAGCAGGGAGGAGAGGGAGAAGGAGACTCCCACTGAGCAGGGAGCCTGGCGCTGGACTCGATCCCCGGACCCTGGGATCATGACCCGAGCCAAAGGCAGACGCTTAACGACGGAGCCACCCAGGCGCCCCAGAGTCTCACTTTTGAAAGCAGAAAGACACCGTGGGTGCCAAGCTACCTGGCCTTTGGGCAAATTAGTAAAAGACAGCACTCCTCACGACACGTTACTTTAGTCTGTCACAAACTGTCACGATACTTTGAGAAAGCAAGCACTTGACTACCATCCGCTGGAAAAGTTTCCTGAGAGGGCGCTCCGAGACATACTGCAGGCTGTGTGCGGCAGCCTTCCTTACATGCAGGCGCCTGTGAAGCTTACAGTTGAGGAAACTGAGCAGAGAGAAGATGAGTGACTGGACTAGGGTCACACAGAGGTGGATTCAAACCCAGCCGGTCTGACTCCAGAGCCCAGGCTCTGTACCAAGAGGCCACTGTTTTTGTTGGAAATGTTTGTTGCCCCCACATCTCCCTGACACACACCCTCGACTATTATCTTCAACGTTTTATCAAGTTATAAATTCCAAACCCCCCCTCTTCCTGTGATACCTTCTTTGATCTCACCAAGTGCAACTGGCTTCTCCATTTCACGCTCCCCTCTCCTGGACTTTACCCGGCCCTCTACGGAAGCCTTATTTTTCTGAATGAATTGGATATGTTTACAGGGTCTCTCCACCCTGTGAGTGTGAGCAAATTCTTCAAGGGCTGCTGGGGAGACTGCGGAACACCAGCTCTGTGCCTCCAGAACCTGGCACTGGCCCAGCACAGAGGAGCAGCTTGGTAATGATGGATGAAAGGAATGAAAATGAATTCACACATGAGAGGATTGGACCCACTGCCCACCCCCTGCCCCCCCGGGACCCTTCCAGCTCTGACCTTCATGAGTCCATGACTCAGAGTTTGATGCTAAGCCCCTGCCAACTTTAAGGGGCAGAAACCACAGTGCAGAACAGAGGGAGGCAAGACGAAGAGTAATTGCCAGAAAATGGTAACCTTGTCAGCTCAGAAGATGTCAGGGTGATTGGATGGGAATTGGTCTAGAATTCGTGGCGCTCCTTGGAAGGCTTATGTGAACCGATGAAATACCACTGAATGCCCGAGGGCACCGCAGACAGAGCGACTGCAGAAACTGTCAAGGTCATTGCCAACTTTGAAATCCCCCAGATACTCCCACATTAATAAGTTTTCAGGGAAGGAAGGAAAAAAAAAAAAAAGCAGTGAGCTGTCATTCTGGAGTCAGAGAACATTAATAACGCTCTCATTAGGAAAAGGTCAGGGGCTTTCTGCCAATTTCAGGCAAGTGTCCAAGGACATCCCGTGTGTGCAGAACTTCTGGAGGGAAGTGTGAGAAACTAATGAGCTCAGGGCAATAAGAGTGCAGCTAGTGAGGCCCCTGGTTCCATCCTTTTCCCTTCACTTAGCGGAATGTAAGCGAGCTGCCACCGTGGACTGGGCTCGGCCACGAGGGAAGAACAGGATTCAGTTGGATCTCAAGGGGCCAGTCGCGTGTCTCACTAGGACTTACTCAGGTCTTACTGGGACTGAGCACTACTAGTCTGGGGGCAGCTGATAGACTAGCATTTGGTGTTGAATTAATTTTTTATAATTCTGTTCAATTCACCTGTCATTTGAAGACAGAAGTCCCAAAGTATCCAAAAGATTCACAAAGTTGATCTTGTCCCTTCTTTAAGTCATCCAACACATTTTTATTGAACAATGTATCGATTTTAGTTATCATGTGCACCTGGACCGGCTCAACAGCACCTAACCTTGTTCTAGTCCTCTTCCAGGCTCTTAGCCTTGGCAGGTCAGCCTCACCCGACTTGGAGTGAGCTCCCAGGGCCTTTCCAGGCCAGAGGTCTTGATGCAATTTATTGGTGGCCTCTGTCCTCCACGGGCTGGGACCCAAGAATCAAAAGGGATTGTGCCACTTAGAACCCAGACAAGCAAACACTCAGCTGCCGCCTGGGGCCAAGGGGCTGCTTCCGCAACATGACAGAACTAGGTTGGGGGGAACACACACACACGGGGGACAGAAATATCTCCAGACTCTTTGTTATTGCTTTAAGGAACTGTCAGTCCAGACTCCATATCTTCCTCAGCATGGAGCACATAGATAAGTAACACTTGTGGTTCCTTACGAAAGAATGGGAAAAACACACAAAGAAGATAGCAAAAATCCCCAGGGATTCATCATCGAGAGATAACCACTGGGCGCCTGGGTGGCTCAGTCGGCTAAGCATCTGACTCTTGATTTCGGCTCAGGTCATGATCTCTGGGTTGTGGGATTGAGCCCCTCGTTGGGCTCTGTGCTCAGCACAGAGTCTGCTTGGGATTCTCTCCCTCTCCCTCTGCCCCCGTCTCTCTCTTTCTCTCTAAACAAACTTAAAAAAGAAAAGAAAAAAAGAGATAACCACTTTTAATGTTTTGATGTTTACTATTTCAGTTTTTAGAAAAATTCATACATCTCTTTTTACAAAACTAGGATTGTTATGCAATACTCTTCTATGAACCACTTTCAAAACATAATTTACTGTGGCTCTTTCCCCTTTCTCCTACTTTATAATACTGCCTAGTACGGATGGAACTGTTTATTTAACTTACCTCTCTACTGACTAAGTCAGTCATTTACAATTTTTTTTTTTCCTATTATGCAGAAGGTGAAATTTTAAAGGAGATGATGGACATTTCCTGCTAGCTCATTATGTAGCCCTCTCCCCTGGCTTTCTCTTCTGCCTTTCCACCACCAACACGTCAGCCAAGCCAGCATCCGGAGTCGGCCCTGACCCCTCACTGCTGGTCACCCCCACGTCTAATCCGTCAGCAAGCCCTCTGTCCTCCATGGACTGGGACCCAAGAATCAAAAGTGATTGTGCCACTTAGAACCCAGGCAAGCGGGCGCCTGGGTGGCTCAGTCGGTTAAGCAACTGCTTTCGGCTCAGGTCATGATCCTGGAGTCCCGGGATCGAGTCCCACAGCGGGCTCCCTGCTCGGCAGGGAGTCTGCTTCTCCCTCTGACCCTCTTCCCTCTCATGCTCTCATTCTCTCTCTCTCAAATAAATAAATAAAATCTTTAAAAAAAAAAGAACCCAGGCAAGCAAGAGGTGGCTCCCTCTGTGGGTCCTCAGCCCTAGCTCAGACGTTCTCTGGGGACCTAGCCTCCTGGAGTTGCCCCCCACCCCCCGGCCCATTCCTCCTAGTCTCCATTCTGACTCATCTGGGAACGGGGATGGTGTTAAGTTTACCCACCTACCGTCCCTGAGGGCAGAGAGAGAAGCCAAAGGCTCCTAGTCTTGGCAGAGGACAACTGGGGGTAAGGAGATTGCTGCCCCTGTGTTTTAAGGGGGACAGGGGAGAAATGGGTAACTGGGGGTCCACGTGAAAGGACCTCTGTACCACTCGGGTGCGAGCTGGGGGTCCTGGCGGCCAGGGCGCTGGCTGGGCTGCTCTGATCCCGGAGGCTCAGCCCCTGGCCGCCCACCCACAGCTCTCTCACAGGTCTTTCTTCTGGCAGGAGGTATGGGGCCCAGGCCCTCACCGGGGGACTTCAGAACAGGTTGCTGAGAGCTGAATTCTGGGAAGATGAGGGCCCCCAGGCCAGGACAGGCCCCGGCAAAGGCATAGGGATTCCACGGAGGCTTTTGTAATCCTGTAACTTCGGCTCGAGATCCTTCTTTAGTCCTGAAATGTGACACTGTGCTTTCCTTCTAATCGGGGTCAGCTCAGAATCGCCAACCTTAGAAAGACCTGAAAGGCCTTTTTATTCCAGCTTCTCTGTTCTCTGCTGCAGGTTGTCTCTCCGGAGCCTGGCAAACAGAGGCGGCTCCTTCCCGGGGAGTTTTTACAGGGATCTGTAGAAAACTCTTCTCCCCAGGAGGGGAGGCCCTCCCACATCCATGCCTCTGCTCTATGCCCTTCTCCGTCTTGTCCACCGGCCAAAGCTCCTATCTGTCCTCCTTCAAAGTCCAGCCAGAGGCCACCACCTCCTGCTCGCATCTTGCAGACTGAGCGGATTCCGTTTCTCCGGATTCTCTCGCGGTGCCCCGAGCTTCTCGTTATCATCCGCAGACGTTGGTGTACGTGCCTGTATTCTGTCCCCCTTCTCCACCTGCCTCCTGCCCCTCCTCCCCCATGCCGTCATGGGCTCCTGAGGGTGGTACCCTGGCCGATGCATCTCTCTCTCACTAGTGCCTGGCCCAGGGCTTGGCCAAGAGAGGAGGCTTGAATGAATGAGAAGGGAAGAAAGGAGGGTCTCGGGTCACTTTAAACAGCCCTAGCTCCTGCACCCCTCGGTTATCCCGGGTCCCTGATCTGTCTGAGCCCTCCCCTAGCCTGGCTCCTACCGGCTCCTCACAGCAGGATCCGCGAGGATTTGGTTTAGGGTGAGGACCTGCACCTTGGTGGGCAAATGAGGAAGCTGAGATCCCAAGAGAAGAAGTGACTTGCTCAAGGTCACCTCAGAGCCCCCTGTGAGAGAACAGGAACTGTTTCCTTCCTTCCTCACGTTCCCTTCCTCAGCCCCTCCCACCTGACTCATTGCCTCGGCACTACAAGAGGAGCGCTGGGACTTCCGGGGGCATCCGAGGGATCTGGGAGGCCTGGGAGCACTTCCGGGCAGCGAAGCGTGTGGGTGGAGCGCATGCGGACTCTCCGGTGTGTGCGGGGTGGGGGGAGGGGGATTGTGGCTCCCAGAGGACCTGGAAGCAGGTTTGGCACCGAGATATGTCTCCTTTCCAGACCCCACTCCTGAAAAGGGGATCCCAGGTTGTCCCCCAGTGTCCAGGTAGCTCCAGCCACATCAGCAGAGTCAACAGGATGTGCTGTACCAGGGCAGATAATCAGTAAGCATCTATTGAAATCGCTGTGTGACCTTGGGTAAGTTATTCAATTTCGCCGGGTCTCAGGGTCTGGGTCTAGAAAATTAGAAGCTTAAAGTCTTATCATTAGGAGTGAGGGACAGGGACAGATTGTTGTCTCCCAAATTCCACAGGACTGCCACAAGGGAGAGGGATCATATGGATTCCTGTAGCCCAACGAGCAGGATGAAAATGGGTGAAGGAAGGTGGAGGTCGATGAAAATGCTGGGCAACGCACTGAGCATAGAGCGGCTCTAGAATGGAAGGGGCTGCCTTAGGAGACAGCGAGTCCCCTGTCATTGGAGGTATGCAAGGAGAGACCAGGTGGTCCCATTCTGGAGATGGTGGGATTGGACTGAATGAGATGTGAAGTCCAACTCAGACAGCTATGATTTCAGTTACCTTCACAGTCCCTTTGTGCCCAGCATGGTCTTTTGCCATGTTAGCAGGTAATGGGGACAGCTCAGCGTGGGAGCTGGGAGACCTGAGGTTAGCCTTCCCTCCATGGGTGACTGTGGTGAGGCCTTGGATAAGTGGCTCCCCCCCTGGGCTACTGTTCCCTGATCTTTGAAGGGGGAATAATCATCTCTGTCCTGTGGATCTTTCTAAGAACATGGTTATTAAAAAATATTTATAAGCTAGGGAATTCCCTACAAATATCGAAGGCTAGCTTTTAAAACAACTCTGTGCGTGTTTTTTCAAAAGTGATACATCTTTATCATAGCAAATATGGAAAATACAGAGCCAAGAAGTGAGTTTAGATGAGGCGTAATTCCACCAGACAGAGACATCCATTGTTAGCAACCTGGGATATCTTCTTAGTCACTTCTCTACACATACACACATTTATATAATTTTATCTATCTATCTGTCTATCTATCTATCTATCATCTATCTATCTATCAATCATCTATCTATCTATCTATCTACCTGTGTAGGCTTCATGCCCAATGTGGGGCTCGAACTCGCGACCCTGAGATCAAGAGTCGTATGCTCCACCAACTGAGCCAGCCAGGTGCCCTTACATTTATATGATTTTATTTATTTACTTGAGAGAGAGAGAGAGAGCAGAAGGGAGAGGGAGAGAGAATCTGAAGCAGACTCTGTGCTGAGCACAGAGCCCCACGTGGGGCTTGATCCCACAACCACAAGATCATGACCTGAGCCAAAACGAAGAGTCTAAGGCTTAACCGACTGAGCCACCCAGGCGCCTCTATATTTATATAATTTTAAACCAAATATTGTGTCAAATAATATATACTATTTTGTGCCCTACTTTTTTTTTCTACTTAAGATATTTATATATATGTATGGACATCGCCTCACATCTTTAAATGTTCTTCTGTAGGTTTAACCTTAAAAAACCCCTTTGTACTGAAGTTTAATATAGATACAGAAAAGCACATGTATCAAAGGGAACAGCTCATTGAATGTCACAACTCGTCTGTGTACCCAGCCCCCAAATCAATAGGATGGGATATTACTGTCCTGTCCACCCCCCGGGGGGCCCTCAGGCCCCCTCCCCGCCACTACCCACTCCCTAGCTGGGGCTGCAGCTTCATTTACAATTTTTATTTTGAAATCATTATAGGACGCTGGGTACGTATTGCCAAACTGCTCTTCAGCAAAGTTGTGCCGAAGTTCTCTCTCTTGAGCCGGGCATGAGACAGCCTATTTTCCCACCCTGTCCTCTAAGAAGACACCACCCCCTAGAAACAAAACAACAGTGCAAATGGGATCCCACAGTGTCTTCGTTTGCGTATTCTTTTATTACTAAGGGCAATTCTGGGGGGGGGGGCAGACAGGAGGATCCTGTCCTCCCAAGTCCTTCCTTCCTTCCCCGTGTCTTCCCACTTACCAGTTCTTGCCAGGCCAGGGGACCAGGCCCAGAGTTTACTCTCTTCTCTGCCACCGCATGTATGGCCCTGGACAAACTGCATACCTCCTCTCCGACCCTCGGTTTTCTCTTTTGTAAAAGGAGCTAACAATGCCATCCTAGCAACTCACAAGCTTTTTGTTAAGGTCAAAATTGCACAGACATGCAATTGCTCTGAAATTTTACACGCTGTTCGGGAGGAAGATAGGCATTACTGATCGCGTGGTTACTTTTAGTTCCTTTTCCTCTGTAATTTCAGGATACAGGTCACATTAATTGGTCTTATCAGTGCCCCCGGCTGGGCGTCAATGACATAATGACCCAAACCTCCCTGGGGTCCCCACTAGGCCTAATGACACAGAGAGTGACGGTTTATGTACCAGCGTGGTACCAGCACTGCCCAGTCAAACCCAACAGGCATTGATCTTGGGACATGCGCCCTGAATCTCGGCCTTGGGAAGTGGAGGAAGTTGCCGGCGCTCCCCGAGGCCCCCCAGTGTGCCAGGCCATGTGAGGGGTCTCTGAGGGTGGTGTGAATGTGCTACAAACAGGGTTGGTATCCCTGCTCTCTGGTGAGGGACCCGGAGCTCCAACGTCTTGGCTGGGGTGCTGCAGCTACAAAGTGGCAGGAGCAGCTGGGATGCACGGTGACCCAGCTTGCCCTGCCACCCCGATCCCAGAGGCTAAATACTTTCCCTGCTGACCTACCTTCGTGCCTGGGTATCCCCACATGACCGGACATTTTTAGTTAAATCTCTGAGGTCCTTGTTAAAAGTGCCACGGACATGGGCATGGGACCTGGGACTATGCCATAGCCTCACCCACAATTGGCAATGGCCCACGAGATGCCCTGGGTACACCTGATACTGAACAAGACCCCGGGATGGGCAGGGAGGAGGCCTGGACAGGAAGGTCAGAGGACCTGGGTTCAAATCCAGGCCTACTCGAGTGGGTGGCTTGAGCAGGTTACCTAAGAAGGGGAAGAATGAAGGCTTGGGCCCACAGGGCGTTTCTCTGAGGGGGCTTCCCAAGCCCAGAGTAACTGCCCTTGGCCAGTAGAACAACCAAGCAGGGGGGACTGGACGTTGCTCCCGACTGGCCCTGCTCACAGGTCGGTGGATTGGGCTGAAGCCCAGATCAGAGCAGCTGGATCACCGGCCGCAGGACCTCAAGTCCCTTCCAAGGTCCCCACCAAACCCCAGTCTCGGCTACTGTGAGGAAGAGCCAAGGAGGCTGACACTCTAGGATTCTCTGTTTCTGATTCTGTATGGTTAGCATGTGTTTCCCATCTATGCACTTAGTTTATTTATCAGCTCCAGAGTCAGACAGACTTGCTTTTAAAATCTGAAATCTGGGGGTGCCTGGCTGGCTCAGTTGGTGGAGCATGCACTCGTGATCTCGGGGTCATGAGTTCAAGCCCCATATCATCGGGCGTAGAGCTTCCTTAAAAAAAAAAAAATCTGAAATCTGTCACTTACCTCCTGTGTGACCTTGGGCAAATCAGGTAATCTCTCTGAGCCTCAGTTTTCTTATCTGTCAAACATCTTTCGGCATAGTGAGAATGAAGTAAGTCAATATATAAGCAACAACTATTTGGTGAATTAAAAAAAATCACCTGAATAAATGTTAGTTTTTATTTTTTTTATTTTTTTTAAAGATTTTATTTATTTATTTGAGAGAGAGAGAGAATGAGAGATAGAGAGCACGAGAAGGAAGAGGGTCAGAGGGAGAAGCAGACTCCCCGCTGAGCAGGGAGCCCGATGCGGGACTCGATCCCGGGACTCCAGGATCATGACCTGAGCCGAAGGCAGTCGCTTAACCAACTGAGCCACCCAGGCGCCCTAAATGTTAGTTTTTAAAGATTGGAAGTTATTTTCCCAGAGGGGAAGATGTGAAGGCAATGCGGTCCTTGGTGACTGCCAACAACCACTGCTCACACAGACTTCTACTTGTCCGAGCTCCCCCTCTGCTCTCTCCTCGTGGGGCTGCCTCAACAGCCCCCCACGCCCCTGTGCCCCAGGCCTGGGATTAGAGCATCAACACCAGGAACAGGGGTGTAAGGAAAGGGGGCCAAGGGGGTGGGGAAAGGCAAGGGGCGTGCTGTTGGCCTGGCCCTCTGGTAGGGACGGCATTGACAGGTCAGAGACAGGGCTTCTGCCCCTGGCTCTGCCAGCACCTCAATGCTTGCACGGATCCCCAGCACCCCCTCTGTCAGATGGGAACTCAAGCTCCAGCCCCGCTTAGGTAGCCATTTGCCACCTTCTACTGCAGTCCACGGGAGCCGCCAGGGATAGGGCTGGGGTTGGAACACCCCTGGGTGCCCAGTGGCCGGGGCTGTGGCGTCTTTCTGACAACTGTAGGGCTTCCAAGTGTGTGGGGGTGGACCCTGAGCACTGAGGCCTGCACGCTCACCCCCTGGGCCGCCCGAATCCTTTGCGTCACTCTCTCAGCATCCTGTTGCCTTTGTCCCAGGGTTTTATTATTCTTGTCACCTCTCACCCCCATCTCCTAGAAAATGGGCTTCCCACCAAATGATTTGGCTCCCTGCCAGGGCTAAGCAAGCCCTTTGGGCAGGTCTCTCAGCAAAGTAATTACCTTCGTCCTTTTTTTCTTTTCCTTTTTCTTTTCCTTTTGTTTTTGAAACGGAATCACTCTACGTGGAGTGGGAAGAGAACAGAATTGGGACTAGAGCTTCTGAGTACAAGTCCCAGGTTCTGCCACCTACGCTCTGGGCTTCATTTTCCCCATCTGTGAAACGGGTTAGTGGCAAGCCCTGCCCTGCTTTCCTCATGAGAAGGTTGTGGAGAGCAAATGAGGTATGGGTGTGAAGGGTAAGCTCTGTGTAAACTCTGAAATGTTGCCCAAACCTGATTATGCAGTAGAATCATCTGGATTTGTTTGTTTTTAAAACCTGAAAACTGCCACCACTACCATTCATGCGTGCGCGCGTGCACACACACACACACACACAGTCACACACACGTTAGAAACTTATGTAACATTGAAATGAAATTTTGGTGCATTTGAAGAAAATGAGATTTCTGGGTCTTTCTGGTGAAGTTTTGTGCCGTGTGCCGTGCTGCAAGCACGATGGGGCAGGCACAACAGCCTTCTTTAGTCTTTCTCATGGGGGGTTCACAGACTCTCTGTTAGAAGGAGCCCTTGATCTTGGAGGCTGTGTTACAGCTGGGGAAGCAGGCTCAGAGGAGAGGGAACTCGCCCTTCCATCGCCCGTAGGGTTGCTGTGGGGCATGAGGGAAGCCGAGCACAGACCTAGTCACCCTGGGGAGAGTCAGAGCAGAGGCGGTTCCCTGTCAAGGAGCTGGAGGGGGACCCTCGCAGGGGACTCCTTCCCCATCCCAGCTTCAGGCAGAAGCACACAGCTGCCACCCGAGGGAGAGAGGAGGGGAGAGGGAAGGGAGGTTCCTATTGCAGAGGAACTGGAGGTCTCAAGAGCTGGTGTTGGCCATGAGCTTGCTGTGCAGCCTTGGGAAAATCACTTAACCTCTCTGGGTCTCCACTTCACTGTCAGTAATATGGATGCAACAGACACATCTATTGATTTTCAGGAATGTATTGACAAGCAACTACGTGCCAGCCTGGGTGCCAGGGACCCTTTGGGAAGCAAGGTAGGCACAGTTCTTGCCCTCGGTGTAAAGCGTGAGCTGGAAAAATAAACAGAAAATAAATGGGATCAGTGTCCCTCTGGAGGGAAGGCGAGGTAGCGGGCTGACGCAGAGGAGGAACACCTAACCTCACCTGGGGAAGGACGTGGGGAGGTGGGGGCATGGATGCTGAGATAGGAAGGGTAAGTGGGAGGTAATCAGGCTGGTGGGTGTGAGGACAGGGAAGCGTTTATTGCCCCCTCCCCCCGTCCTTTGAGGGTGTTCTTGTCTTTAAAACACGTTAGCAAAGGGAAGTTCTGTGTAGCCACTGCCGAGAGGTCTGCTCAGAGCCCGAGAGAACATTCCCTGCAAGCACCCACCCTGGTCCCTACCCACTTCTCACATGTCCACACACGACGCTGGATTTAGCTGGTGGGTGGGGCAAGTCAAGGGAATTACAGGGTTTGTGTCTGCGTGTGGGGAGAGTATTTTTAAAGCTTGTGCTAAGTATGACTTTGCCCACAGTCTGTGGGAAGAAACAAAAAGCTCCGCCTTTCCCAGGGTCGGCGCAGGGTGGGGGTGGGGGGCTGCATTCCAGAGCGGCGTCCCTCTTGTGGGCCCCCCCCCCCGCCCCCGCCTGTGACTGGCCTCACCCCAGCCCTGGTGCCCCTCACGGAAGTCCCGCTGCCTGGAGGAAAGCTGCTGGGGGACAGGGAAGTCCTGTTAGCCAGACAGGGGGGTTAGGTCTTTATTCTTCCAGGTCTGAGCTAGCACCAGAGGTGAGACAAGGGGAAGGGCCTGCTTGAGAGGTGCGTCTGTCTGGGGACCTGCAAGTCCTCGGTCTGGGCTGGGGTAAGGGGCTGGGAGGAGAGTGTGAGGCTGAGGGAAGACTGGCCAGGCCCCTGGGAGGCCGTGAGACACACACAGAACAAGAGATGAGCTCACGTGCAGGGCGGCACTTCATAAACTCGAGAACGCCTGGTACATGAGTTTCCTCTCAACTGTGCCTTTCTGCCTGGTACCCGCCACCCCCTACCCAAACTGGCGGTTCTGGAGCCTACGACTGGATTGTTTTGGTTATTTATCGCCATGGAAGAACCCACTCTGAAGAATAATGGCTTAGCATAACAATCGTTTTATTTGCTTACGATTCTACAAGCAGGGCTGAGATCCCCTGGCTGGTTCTTCTCCTGCTGATTTTGTTGGCGTCACTGGCCTGTTAAGCTGGGGTCCAAGATTTGCTGGGCTGCAGGATGGTTGAGCTTTTCTCTCTCCATATGGCCTTACGGCTTCTCTACATGGTCTCACAAGACTCCACATGTGGCAGCTCCCGGCTCCCAAGATTGTGAAAGTGAAACTTACCAGGCCTTCTCAAAACGTAGGAACTGACCCTGAGTCACTTCTATTGTGTGCTGTTGATTAAAGCAAATCTGGATCCAATTGAGATCCGAAAAGAAGGGTGATGATACTAGGAGTTGGGTCGTGGGGGTCTTCAATAGAACAGGACGTCACACTGGCTGGTAGAGAAGGCTGCACATGTAAGAGAACTTCTCCTTCACCTACCTTCTCTCTCTCTCTTTTTTTTTTAAAGATTTTATTTATTTATTTGACAGAGAGAGAGACAGCGAGAGAGGGAACACAAGCAGGTGGAGTGGGAGAGGGAGAGAGAGCCAGCTTCCCGCTGAGCGGAGAGCCCGATGTGGGGCTCGATCCCAGGATCCTGGGATCATGACCTGAGCTGAAGACAGACGCTTAACAACTGAGCCACCCAGGCGCCCTCCTTCAACTACTTACTTTATAGATCTCACGATCTGGCCTCTAGCACCATCGTCTCAGCAACCATCATAACGTAGCCCCTTAAAACCATTTTTTAGGGTATATCACATTTGAAGACAGCGGTCAGGTACCCCTTGCTCCCCAGTAGTTAGCAGACGCCCCAATTCCCGCACAGACCCTTGTTCATCTCCATAGCTTAAGCCGGAGCATAATGGTGGAATTTTAGGCAGAGTGAGACTGTCAGGGACAGTGCCAAGAGTGGGAGGTTTTCCCTCCATCTCAAATCACAGCAGGTTGGCCATGCCTTCTGTGACCGCCAGACCCGAGGAGGATGGTTAGGAGGCTCTTTCCTAAGCACTGTTCCCTTACGAGTGTTGGGTCAGAAAGAAATTATACGGTGAGGGCAATTTTGAAATGTACTGGGGCAGAGGGAAGAACCTCCTTTCAGCCAAATTCCTGAGCATAACACCTTCTATGAGGTCACCTGCTGAGAGTCGATGGCCCTTGAAAGAAACTGCCTGTGTTTTGAGTCACAGCATGCTTCTAAGTTTGACAAAGAAAGAATTTCAAGCAAATAGTATTTTATATTATTTATTATTACTGATTCTATGCCAGACACTAGTCTAAGTGTTTTGTGATGTTGGCTCGCTTACTCCCCACCACAAGCCTGTAAGATACTTAACCAACTCCATTTCACAGATGTAGAAACTGAGGCTCACAGAGAGATTAAAGGGCTTACCCCAGGCCACTTAGCTGTAAGCAGCAAAGCTGGGCTTCAAGCCTGTGCCTTCACTGATGGTTACAGAGCTTTAAGGGGCCCTGGGTCAGGTCCTTAACCTTATTAGGGAACCTGGCTTTTTGTCTGTCTTCACCTAAGCAGGAGGGCTGATACCTTGATCCATCGCTCAACTTTGGAAAATGTTGCTGCTTCTAAGAAGCAACTCGTGAGAGCATTTTTTTCTTGGCTTGACACTTCTGTTCTAAAACCATGTTCTCTTTTTCTCTGTCTTCTTGAATCGGGTATATAATAATTACATATACATGTTACACATACATACGTGTATATATTGAGAAACGTAAAGTGTATTCCTAACTCAGAACATTTTGACTAACAGGTATGCAAAATAAAATAAGAAATCACTTTTGGAATTGAACAGGAAACCCAGGAAGGATTTCCTGCTTGGCCCAACAAACACAATCACATCCATAAATACAGCCGCCGGCACTTTAATAAATAAAAGAATAAACACAGGACACGTGACTTCACTGGATGGCCGTTTGCTGTTGCCAGATGCTGAGCTATGGACTGACATTAGATATCGATGCATAGAGCAGTTATCATTGCAATTAGCTGTCCGCAAACACTGGTATTTGCTGAGCAATAGTGGACGTTACCGCCACTGGACATTTTCCCTTGGTGGATATCAGCCGTTGGTGGGGGCTCTCACTGATGGACATTAGGTATCGATAGATATTAGGTATCAGTGAACATTTGCTCTCTCGTGAGCATTAGCCAACACAGAACACTGAGCACTGATGGGCAAGGCCCTATTAGCCTGTGAGGACCTCTCCTGTCGTGGTGGACATTGGGTAGGAGCAGTCAGGCCTCTGTCCCAGGCATGCTTGGCGGTCTTGTGCACAGAAACCTCCTGTGGCTGGTTTGGAAGCAGCTGGTGGGTCCTAGTATCTGTGTCTTCACCTGTCCTCTCTGAGAGTCCTTTGGCCATGACAATCTGGGGACATCAGGGGTGGTATGATAACACCCATGGAGGGAAATGCCCGGATTTGCAAGAATAATTGGCTCCCAGAGGGATGACATTACATACAAACTTACAGACTCTCTTCTGCCATCCTGCCCAACACTGGGTGTTTGCTCCTTCCTTCTCTGTAAATGGTGTGATTAAAGCACAACGGGGTTGGCTTCATGGGCCGTGGGACCTTAGAAGGGCCTTGGGCTTGGTTTAATGCTCTGCTCTTGCCATCTTGACATTCTCAATAATTTTGAATGAGTCTCCTTATTGTCATTTTACACTGGGTCCCACAAATTATCCTGGTCACCTGCCATGCGACCTTGCGCTGATCTTCTCTAGGCCTTAGGCTCCGCATTTGTGAAATAGGGTCAGGGGGGAGGGGGGAGGGGGGAGGACTTTGACTTTGATCTTCGGCTTTTCATGCTCTATGATGTAGAACCAGTGGTCTGATTGGAAGTACTTAGAATTGCATAACTTCCCGGATTTATTTTCAACAGAAAAAGAGATGGAATCCCAGGGTTTTTTTCGATTTCTCGGAGCACCTCTGCTCTCTTGACGTGTGGGATCTGCACAGCTGGGTCAGCCACTGAAGTAGGACACGCAAGACTGACTCACCGTTGGGTCAGATGAAGCCAGGCCCAGGCTGGTATCCTCATCTGTATGGTGACAATATTACCTGGGGCCGTTGTGGTGAGGAGGAAAATGGTATTTGCACACCAAGTGCGCGGGACATGTGTCCAGTGAGTGACAGCTGTGTTGTTAGTGGAATGCAAGGAAATGTGTGGGAGCCAGCCTGTGCCATGATGACAAACTGTGCCTCAGTTGTCTGCCCATCCCTAAAACTCAACTGACGTGTGCTCAAGGCCTATTCTATGCTCGGCACCCAGAGCAAAGACCCTGTGCATTAGAGTATTGTTCTGCAGCTCTACAATCCGGAACCTTTATGACATTCTTCAGTCCTGAGTCAGTTATTGAAATATGAGTCTAAGACTACCTGATTCTGTAATCTATCTCCTAATTCTGTGGTTCGGTGAAGCTGGGACCAGGCATTTATTTGTGCCGGGCACGCACTATGCTTGATTCTTTACAAACATTACTTCATTTACTCATACAATCCCGTGGAGGGAGATATTTCCATCCCCCTTCTCCAGGCTCAGAGAGGTGAAGTGATGTGGCCAAAGTCACACAACTAGTTCGTGATGCACCCAAGATTTTAAATTAATCCTTTTCTGTGAACTCTAAAATGGAATCTTTGCATTCATCTCTTTACTTCTGTAAGGTTCTAATGTCCCCATTCTCGGCCCCTGGATCCCAGGAGGGCAGACTGTAGCAGCATGAAGGCATGGGGCTAGGGGATGGAAGTGCTGGGCAGGTCCGCTGTGGCCTCCAGGGGCCCTGGGCCTCGCTCCGCAACCCCTCAGACCGGGGGTGTCTGGCCACGTGTGGCCACGTGGTGGCGCGGCGGGCTGGGAGCCTCCGGAGGGGGCTGGGTTTAGGTGAGGGCCGCGGGCCCGCGGCGCTTCTCCTCTCCCCAGGGTTCGCTGGAGGCCAGGGCTGCGGGATGTGCAGGGCAATGCCCCCACAGCAGGCACGGTGTGACGGTCCCACCCTCGCCCACGGAGCTTCGTCCCCGCCGCTTTTGCGGATGTGAAGCTGCAGCCCCGGGCAGAGCTGACCTGCCCCAGAATTCACGGGTCTTCTGCAGGAGGGCCGGGCCTCCCCACCCTGCCTTTAGCACCGCTTTGTCCCCATTTTAAAGACACCTACATTCCATGTCCCCCCAACTCCCCCCCCCCCTTTCAAGGAGGACTTCGGGAGGGCCCAGCCTCACTGGGTTAAAGTCCCTAGGATCCCTCCCCTGACCCTGCATTTGAAGGCTTTCTTGTCCCAAGGGATGAAGGGGGGGTGCACAACCAATCTGAGGACCGTGAGTGCCGGGGTCTCACCCTGATCCCTACTCCCATATTAACTGATGGATGGGGTAGCCTCCTGCTCATGGAGCCCAAGTCTGGGGACGGGGGCAGGGGTTAAGCGACATGTTGGGCAAGCTTCCCAGACATACCTGTAGCCTGAAATGTTCTGGGTTCTGTACCACTGTTCACCCATGACCCCCTCCTCCTAAGTGTCATCCCCCCTCAGTCCAGGTGCACTGTCCTCAGCTCTGTGGACCTGCTTCCTCCAGGAAGCCTTCTGATCCCCACCACAGGGCTCTCACAGCTCCCATGCAGCCTTTATGGTCAGGTATCTTCTGTGTGTCCTTTCCACTCACACCTCAAGAACGTGAGTCCCCCGGCACAGAACAGAGAGCAGAAAAAAAGCTTGTCATTGTCGGTGATGATGCTGATGGATGTTCCCACAGACCTTGGCCAGCTAGAAGGAAAAACTTAAGAGACAGCAGAGGCATTCAGATGAGCTGCTAGCAAGTTCCCGGGGCTGGAAGTACGCAAACGGGAGTTAGGGGGCCGCAGCAGTCAAAATGCCAAGCAGGAACCGTGTACTGCTGGAGCTGGCGCTCGGGAGCTCAGGGAAGGGGGGCCTTAGGGAAAGCTTCTGAGGAGGTGAGGGAGGAACCAGGTCTATTAGAGTGGGAAGGAGCTGAGCGGCAGGGTCAGGCCAAAGGGCAAGGCCCCCGAGGAACAGCCTGGGCAAAGGCAGAGGTGTGTTCCTGGAGCTGGGGCAGCAGGGAGAGGGGAGATGAGGCTAGAGAGGGTACCAGCCACAGTGAAAGGAGCAAGCACTCCCGAGTAACTGCCTCCCTCGTGTCAGCTCACCGTCCAAATCCCACAAGGCCCCTGGGCTTTTCTGGGAGAACAGGCTGCCCAGGGCCTGGCCATGGATGCCAGTCAAAGGATGGAAAGAGGGACTCTTTATAGTGTTTATTCAATCAAGGACCAGTTAGGTGGAGGGCGGGGCAGGTGGGGGAGGACAGAGCTCTCCTTGTCCTGTGGGCATCCCTCTGGGACCAGCCCCCTGAGGCCCAAGGGGCCACGTACACCCTGGCTTCCACCCAACACCTCCTCCCTCAATGCATCCCCAGGACACAGTATTACAAAAGTTAACAAATGCAATGTTTTTCTTCTTTTTACAAATGACAAGTTTCCATCCCCTGCCGGCAGGGGTGGGGGGGTGGGGTGGTTGAAGGGACAGTCCATTACAAAGGCAACAACTTTTATAAAACAAAGACGAAGGAAAGAGCTCAGGGCTGGGAAGCTGAGATGCCGCCTGGGGTGGAGCATAAGCTCTGATGCGGGTACCTGCCTCCTGATGGATGGGGAAGACAGGGAGACCCCTGTGGAGCTCAGGGCCAGTGCGGGAGGAATCCAGGAGGCCCCCGGGGGTTTCCAGGACTGCATCAACTTCTTGCCGAGTCCACAAGAGGCAGTACACCTCAGGGGTCAACGGATGCATTTCCAGTCTTGACGCTGGGGGACCGCACGCCAGAGTGGGAAACTGGGAGGGCTTGGGACTGGCATGGCTGAAGCTTCCAGAGGCTCCGCGGTGAACTGACTTAACCTGTGCCACACAGCTAGTTATGGGGCCCAGAGTCCCACCTCCGAGGCCCTTGCCTGTCCTGGGAATGACAGGGAAAGGGCACACATGGCAGGATGGGGGGACCCAAGAAGGGGAAAGAGGGCCCGATTTAGAGAAGACAGAAAAGTGCCAAGGGCCTCACTGGGAGGGCACCAGGGTGCTAGGGCCGGCTACGCCTCCGCTGTAGCACCTCAGATTAGCCATGTTCCTTCTCTAGACCTTAGTTGCCCCATCTGTCACGTGAGAAGGCGCACTTGATTTTTTTCTCTAGTCCCTTCCATGACTAAGGTTCTACCCAGGCTTCTCGAGGAAAAGAAAAGGATGAGGTGGGTCTCATGTGCCCAGAGCAAAGAGGGGGGCTACCTCATAAAAGCAGCCCATGCCCCTGAGTGACTGGACCGCGGGCCCAAGGGGATGCTCAGCCGTGGGCCTGACTCTGCCCTGTCGCAGTGGCTTCCTTCTAGCCTCCTCCTGTCCCGGGTCGGGCTGGCCCAGGCCTGAGGGAAGGCACTTTGGGGACAAGTGGGGAAGGACAGCAGGGGACTGCTGTCTGGTTTGGCATCGAAGACCTTCTACTTATGGTTTGGGGGACAACACAGACAGAGGGGCAAGACTTTGCTCCTGGGTGCTGGTCCCAGCTCCAAAGCCTCTCCCTACGTCCACAGCTCTCTTCCAATGAGGCTGCCACAGAGGCTTGTTGGGTCCCCCCACCCCCCCCCGGGCTTGGGCACATGAAAATATAAGTTACCCAGGACCTGAGGGAGCCCAGGGCAGGAGTCCGTTATGTGGCCCCAGGCTATGCCATTTGTCACAAAGTGTCGGGGCCCTTAGCAGCCGATTCCCGGGTGTCTACGCAGTGCAGGGCCACCTTGGGGCTGGAGCCAGGCTGCCGAGGGTAGGTGCCCTCCCGCACCAGCCGCCGGCAGCGCACAGCCTGGCCCACGCTGATGCTCTGCAGTGCTGGCAGGTGGAGGAGCAACATCTCGGGCAGAGGCACCAGGCCCGTGCCCGACAGGTCCAGCTCCTGCAGGGAGCCCAGGCCTGAGAATACCTCGGCTCCTGCCCACTTGAGCTTCGGGTTGCCTGACAGGTCCAAGACCTGCAAGCTCTGCAGCTCACGGAAGCCATGGGGCGCCAGCTGGGGGAGACCTTGCAGGCTGCCCAGGGACAGGTGCGTAAGGCCCGCCAGCCCCTGGAAGGCGCCTGGGCCAACGGCGGCCAGCGGATTCCCATCCAGGCTCAGGTAGCGTAGGGGCAAGTCCCGGAGGTCGGGTACGGCGCGGAGCCGGTTCCAGGCCAGGTTCAGGCTCTGGATGGTGGGTGTGGGTAGGCCAGCCCCCACAGGGTGCGGCGCGAGGCGGTGGATGAGGTTGTGGGAGAGGTCCAAGTGCAGCGCCCGGGCCTGGCTGTGGGTAGTGAAGGCGGTCACCGAGACCTCCCGGAGCCGGTTGTGGCTGAGATTCACGTCGCTCAGGGGTGAGCTGGTGAAGCTTTCGGCCGGCAGAGCCGCCAGGCCATTGTGGCTGATGTCAAGCGACTCCAGGTAGCGAAGGCGGGAGAAGGCGGTGGGCGAGAGGCTGGTGAGCAGGTTGTGGCTGAGATCCAGACCAGCCAGCGTGGTATAGCCCGGCCCGGCCAGCACCGACTCGTTCACGGTCTCTAGCCGGTTGGAGGACAGGTCCAAGTGGGCTGTGTCCAGAGGGATGGGCACGGGCACGATGTGCGGGCCCAGGCCACTGCAATCCACGCGGGTCAGGCTGAAGCTGTCAAAGAGGCCAAAGGTCTCCACCTCGCACTGGCATCCGGGGAAGCATGGCCGGGTGGTCTGGGCCCCGCTCACAGCCAGCAACAGCAGCAGGGGCAGCAGCAGGGGCCACGGCATGGTGGGGGCTGGAAAGAGAGCCACAGGTGAGGGACGGCAGCAAGCACCCCGTACCAGACGGTTCTCGCCCGACCACAGAAGCCACAAGCCGGTGTGTCTGGGCAGAGCTGCCACCACCAGTCCTGTGCTCCCAGGATGCTTCCCCCGGACACTCTTCCTCATGTAATTCCTGGTCCCCGCTCCTCCCTGGCCTTAGTCTCTCCATCTGTGTGGTGGAGGGGTGGACCACATGAGTGAAGCAGCAGAACACTTTCTTAAAAAAATAAAGATCAGCGGGTAAAAGCAGGCATGCTCTGGCTGATGTGAGGGTGGGGACTTGGAACCTTCCAGGCCTGCTTAAGACCCCGCCAGAAACCGCCTGGACTGGACGGGTCTCTGGCTGGCCTCTCCCGCTGATGGGCTAGGGTGTTCCATCCGCCTCGGCTGAGAAAGTGCTGGGTGCTGGGGACTGCGCCACCTGCCTCCCAGCCCGGGCCTACTCAACCCTCACAGTGACAGAAACCGCAAGGTAGCTATTTCTCTTGCCGCTTCACGAAGAGAACTGAGACGCAGAAGGTTCAGAAAGCTATGCACGGCCACACGTCTGGGGGGAAGGACCTGGATGGAGTACGGAGGAAGCATGACTCACTGTCATGGTTTGGCAGTGGCTGAGCCATGTCTGAGACCCACACTCCAACCCCCAAGACTGAAGCCTCTCCCTGCCAGGGGGGCCCGCAGTGACCATCCCCACCCTACCCCTTTTGTGGATAACACCATTTCAGTCCCTAGTCCGGAGCCCCGTCCCTGGCCTGGCCTCCAGAGGCAGGATCCTTATTCCAACGGGGGACCCTGTGTCTAGACTTCGAGATGGGCTCTGGGGACAGCTGTCCCAAGCCCCTTCCCCCTTGCCCTGTCCCCACCCACAGCTGATACAGCTATTACCCCTTGTTGGCCCTTTCTTTAGTGGAGGGCAGGCAGCTGGGCTGGTTCCTTCCTTATACAGATGAAGAACTAGAGGCTCAGAGAGGAACAGGCTTTCTTCCTGAACTAGTAAAAGCAGAGCAAGATCAGAACCTAGGCCTGCTCAATCCCAAGTCCCCTCTTTTCATCTGCTTCCTCCAGCAGGACTGGCGAGGTAGACAGCAGACAGAGGCCCAAGAGGGGCTTTTCCCACTGACACATGCTATGACACAAGCCACGGCCCTCCCCGGCCTCAGTTTCCCTCCCTGTACAATTGTAACAGTAACTGCCAGGCACTCTATGCATGTTGTCACATTCATTCCTCACACCCACCCACACCTGTGTGACCCAAAGCCTGAGTTCACGCCCGCTGCAGCTCCGGGGGCAGAAGTGCTGAGGAGGGAGGGGCTCACAGGGGGATGAGAGAGGGCAGAGTAGTGAGAGCCTCTCAGTCTGCGGTTACCTACTCCTGCCACAGAGCGGTCACTCCGCCCAGGGGACAGAAGGCACCCAGCCTCACCCCAGCAGGTCTCTTCTTCTGGGGTGGCCCTGCCCTGCCCTCCTGCCCAGTCTTCCCACACCCATCCCTCCCACTGGCCCCCAGGGAGGGAGCAGCAGGATACCCCGGCATGAAACTTTGAAGGAGCAGCCATCTGATCTGCACTCTGGCTCTGAGCAGGGGCAGCGAGAAGTGGGGCTCTTCCCTCCGCCCCCGCTACGTGGGCCTCTCCTCTCCCACCCCTTTCTTTTGTAGAGTCCAATTTGAGGATTAAACCCGGCCCAGGTGCATCCTGGGCTTGGGCCCAACTGAGGCAGGACAGAGTGTTCCAATGTCTGGAACCAAAAGGAAAATATTGAGTTGCTCCAGGCCCCCTTTGTTCTGCTGGGTGAGCTTCTCACCACAGGGGTTCATTACCACTCAGAGCCCCACCTTCCCTGCCAAGCCGATCTGCTCACACGCACCCTTCCTGGGGTTTAAACAAACACTACACACACACACACACACACACACACACACACAAAGGCCCCGAGGTTACCCTGTGGTTCCCAAAGGTGATTATACAATGCGCCTATTAAATGCCAGACGGCCCCTCGAGAGCTCCTGCTTATGTGACCGGCAGCCTGAAAGCAGCCCAAACCCTCTCCCCTAGAGCAGGGGTCTCTTACCACCCTCCCCAGGCCTTCCCCCGTCCCCTGTACCGCAAGGCGGTCATTCTTGCCCTGCCCTCTTCACACCAGGCGATTGAACTCCCACCAAAGGGCAACGCAAACTGCGAAGAGCTGGGCACGAACGCGAGGTGGTCATTTCCAGACCACCGGGGACAGGAAGGCCGACATAAAGGGAGCAGGAGTAGCGACCGGGCCCCGCCTGCATAACTGCGCTTGTGGGAGCTCTCTGAGCACCCTGGACAAGGTGCCCCCCCGCCAGCCCCGCACAGCGGCCACCTCTGCCAGGGGCCCCATTCTGTGCCAGGCCTGGACACTCCCAGGGGCAAGTGCTGACGGGGACAGTCCGAGCCAGTCCCCACGACGGGCCAATGCTGGACCCACATTCTCTCCTACATCTGCAGCCCCTCCAGGAGGTCTGCAGTCTTAGGTCCGTTTTAGAGGAAACGGAGGGTGAGAACTGAACTCAGGCCTTGGTAACCTCCTAACTGGTTCGGTTCAAGTGGAACGCACACTTCTGTCCTTTGGTGGGAAAGGAAGAGGGAAGCGACCAGAGAACTCAGGCCCGGTGCCGCGGTCTTTCAATACTCAGCGGCTCCGGGGCTTTGGTGAGCTCGCAGCCGAGCCCAGAGGCCTCTCCGGGGTGTCCCAGGCAGTCGAGAGAAAGAAATCCCCGAGATGCCTTACAACTTTGGAGGTGTGGGCCGCCGTCTGAGAGTCGGTGTCCCTGTCCTGCCGAGAGATCCCCTCTGGGGTAACATCAGGAGGGGTGCCTTTGTAGGAGTGTCTCAGAGATGCTAGGGCCTGGCACTGTGGCTCCAAGCCCTTAGCAAAAGGCTCAGGAGCCAAGGGGAAGGCAGAACTTTCTCAGGGGGAGACTGAGGGAAGATAAGGAATATTCGGGCCAGGGGTGCGGCTCTTTATAGTTCACAAAAGGCCTCTGCTCACTGGATGCCACGAGGGTCGCAGAGCGGGGCGTGCCACCCGGCACTTGAGTGATGAGGAGCCTGTGACCCACTGTGCAGTGACTTGTCCACAGCCTCCCAGCGAGGTGGCGGCGGCCCGTGTTTAGGCTCCGGTCTCCTGATTCCAGGCTTGGGCTTCCCAGCCCACTCAGAATGGCTGTTGAAGTCTCTTAGGGATTTTATGGAGACCATAAAAATCATGCTCAGAAAAGTCCACAGCCTCATAGAGGGGGCTGATGCCATAATGCTAGGTATCGTAAGGATAAATTGCATATCTAGGAAAATTATAACTATGCATTAAAAAAAACACACAACAACCAACCCAAATCCTAATTTTGGAAAGTCTAGAAAAAAATATATCCATGCAACAGTAGTTTTTCTTTAGATGGTAGAACTTTGAGCGATTTAAACATGTTTTAATCTCCTTTTCTCCCATTTCCTCTCTTACAGGAGAAATATATATAAAGCACACTGACAAACCCACTAACAGAGCCTCCCAAAAGACCATGGCCATCTCTGCTTTCTCTGATCTTGGCTAGCCACAATCCCTGAGCCTCAGTCTCCCCATCTGTAAAACGGAGATGTGAATAGCCAGCTCACGGGACTGTGGTGGAGACGAAATAGAATGGTGGCAACGGGGCCTCCCTGGCAGGCTTCCTAGCACATGGGAAGACTGCAGTGTGGTCTACCCTGCCCTCCCCCACAGACTGGGAGCTGGTGGGTGGGGGCCAGCAGGCGGGCCTGACCCATCTCTCTTCCTCCTTCCTTCGGCACACATGTATGAAATGTGTCAAAGCTCTTATCAGCACCCTCTGGGAGAGCAGTTCTTTCCTGGGTGGCACACTGTTTCCACAGGACTGCTGGATCTGTGAAGGGATGAGTAATGTTGAGTTCCCCTTGACGGAAACCACTAGCCTCAGCTCCGTGGAGAGGAAAGGCCTTCACAGAGAGCCAGAATCCTTGGACGCTAACTTGCAGTGTGAACCAGGCAAGTCACTTTACCTTTCGGGACCGGCTCCTTAAACTATGAATCTGGGATGGTAATGATGGTCCCATCAGCCTCAGAGGGGACAGGGGTGAAGATGAGACTGGGAAGCTGATTATTCCCACTGAGAAATGAGGCCCTGGGGGGTGAGGGAAAGATGGCGCCTTTTGATCTGACCTACAGCCATTATCCACCGTGGAGGTCATCACCGCACCGCTTCCTGGGGAACCTGCACAGGGCCTCAGAGCTTTTCCTGACATGGTGCTTTGCAGGCCTCTGCCCACTGGGCAGGGGTGGCCCTCCAGAGGAGAACTGTCATTCTGGGGTCAATTCCCTGCTCTGAAGAAGCTATGATCCTGGCAACTGGAGTCCCGTGCCAAACCAGGCAACTCGGGCAAACAACTTCCTCTTTCTCAGCCTGTTTCCTTACCTAAAACGGAGACAACAACGCCTTCCTCAAGGGATCGCTGTGCGGACCAGAGACCACAGTGCAAGGAGCTGACGGAAGTGCGGTTGATGAGGGCTGGTGCCTTTCCTGAGCCGTAGGGTAGAAGGAGCCCCCCGAGGGCCCTCCCCCATCCCCTTCACCACTCTCTGGAGGCTGAAAGGGAGGCGACAGGATGACTGTGCGTGGTGACAAGACAGGCCCTGGAGGACAGGCAGGAGCCCCAGCCTGGTCTGCTCACACCCGTGGACGAGTCCCCTCTCCTCTTTGTGCCTCAGCTCCCCTGGCTTCACAGTGAGAGGTTCAGCCTAGCCCCTGCAGCTCCAGCGTCTCAGGAGGGCAACACGTACCAGAAGCATTTACTAAATCTCTACTGAGTGCAGGGCGCTGTGCAAGGCCATGGGAGGTGCATGTTGGGCGCGGGTGGGGGGACCAGGCCCCTGTCCTCAAGAGGCTTACAGACCAGCCGTGGGGACAGGAGAGCAAGTCGGAACAAGACGGCTAACA